ATTCATTGACTTGAGGAAGGCCTTCGACACGGTCGACCATTCAATATTATTGCAAAAGCTGAAACATTACGCAATACGTGGAATAGTGAGCAAGTGGTTTGCTTGTTATCTAGTAGGTCGACAACAAACAACACAAATTGGTGTCAAAAATATATCCAAGAAGGAAGTAACCTTATCAGGAGTTCCACAGGGGTCGTTGTTAGGACCCCTACTTTTCCTCATTTATATAAAGGANCGATTGGTTAATCGCTAACAAGTTATCACTGAATATAAAAAAATCTAACTTTGTTATTTTTCGGCCTAGACAGAAAAAACTGAATCACCAAATAAATTTGAGAATCTTTGACCATCATACTAACAGTTATATTTCTCTAGAACGTAAGGAATTTATTAAATACTTAGGAGTGCTTATTGATGAAACTCTTTCATGGGGTCACCATATTGCTCATATTGCATCCAAAATAAGTAAATCAATCGGCGTTATCTCTAGATTAAGACACTTTGTACCCCTTAGTACTCTAAACCACATTTACAGGTCACTTATCCAACCCTATTTGTTGTATGGTATAGTCGCGTGGGGTCAAGCTGCAAAAATTCATAGAGATAAAATTCTAATCCTTCAAAAACGAGCCCTTCGCTTAATGTACTTTGGTGACTACAGATCTCATGCAATCCCGTTTTTTGTTTCTTCTCGTTTTCTTCCTTTGGATATGCTTTACTTTAAATCAGTTGCCATCATGATGCATGACATATCCAATAATTTGTCACCTTCTAACATATCTAACTTATTCACTTATCAAGCTAATATTCATCCCCATAAGACAAGATCATCTTCAAGAGGCGACTATTTTGTTGAAAGTTCAAGATTAGATATACAAAAAAGGGCATTTTCAAGAAATGGTGTTAGAATCTGGAATAGCTTGTCTTGTGAAGTGCGCCAGATATCAAAATACAATTTTAAGAGTAAAATTCATGATTTCCTCCTCCAGAGACTCGAAAAATATGACGATTATATTGATTTGTCTACTTTAAAAGCACAACTATAAGACCCCACCTTGTTCTGTTTTCTTGTCGTATCTTAAATGTATTAATTGAGTTGTAATTTGTCTAGAATTTTGAATCTCTTGCTCTGTAAATCTTTTTATTTTATATTTTATAATATACGTATTAAACACTGCCCTCCTCGACTAGCCTTTGCTAACTGGGGGCAGTACATATTTTTTTGTAATATTGTAATATTATAATACAACATTAAACTGTTAAACTGTTTTTTTTTTTTTTTGTAATAATCCAGCTAAAACTGTAATATAATATTTCTTTTCCAAAAAATAAATGCGAACTAATTACGACGGACGAAACTGAGGTGTCCGCCTTCGATGATCTGGTGCGAATCGTAAGGAATACATGAGAGTGTTCACAATTTATTCCTGATGAAAACTGAGGATTCAGTACAAGGACGAAGAGGATACTTTCGTCAGGAAGTGATAGCAACATACGTCGGTTTTAGTTAGTTCGCATCGATCTTCCAGAAAAGAAAGTAAAATAAATTGTAAACACTCTAATCTATTAATTCTTCATCAGGAAAAATTGTAAATTGTTTCAGGTCGGGATGTCTCAGAGCTAGCAGTCTCTTCGTCTAAAATATTTTTCACAAGCTCTGAAGCTTCTCCAAGGCAAGACGACAACTTCAAAAGAGATGAGCGATCCATTATTTTGTCCTGACAACTACTCGTGGTTTTCTTCAAAATGGCGGGCTAGGAAAGCTAGCGAGAAGTGAACACTGGGAAAGCTAGAGTTCTTTCGGTCAACCGCTGTGCAGTAAATAATTGAACGAAAATAAATTGCATTGAACGAAATAGAAAGTGTTGAATGTAATATGCGCAACTGAAATAAAAAAAGAGGTTGAACCGAAGCAATCGCATTGAATGATATCAAAGTGTATTGAATGCAAAATGGGACGTCGAACCCAAAAAATAGTATGCTGAACATAAATTTATGCGTTGAATTAAACTAAACTAGACTCTTTGAATTGAAAAATCCATCTATTGAATATTGCTACAATTGGCTTGCCATCCTGGAACAACTTCAGAGCACTCTGGATATTGCCGCCACGAGTTAGCTTCTTTCTGCACATGAATAGCAATCGCTCGAGTATATCTAAATCGTCGAGTCTCTGACTGACTTTAAATACCAAGTCGCTGTATTCGATAGCCGACATTTTGACGGATAGAACGTTTCCATCCACCTTGTTGTAGTACTAAGGCCGATTCAGACAATCCTCACAAGTTTACGTGCGCCGAAGTGTCACGCTATCGAGTTCTGAGAATTTTACGATCTCATCCTCAGGGGGATTCCCAGAGTTCATTTGCTGAGAAGGGGATGGCACTTGCTAGTGACTGCTAATATACAATGGTCATTTCCACCACTATTTCGGAGAGGAATACGGACTCTGGAGATCCGATGAGATGTTACGTGATTTTGAACATTTGAGGGAAGCGATTTGGACATAGCGGGTGAACTCCTCCATAATTCACAATTGGTTCATGCTTTAGCGTGCACTATCGAGTTTTATAGTTCACCACTAAATTTTCTCCGGTTCTTATTGGTTTAAATCGATCACGTGACGCGATAATGTTCATCCGTGGACT